ACTTGCCGAGCTGGGTGATGAAGGAGCTCTTGAACATGTCCTTGAGGCAGTTGAGGGCGTGGACCTGGGGCAGCTTGGAGCCGTCCGACTCGGAGTTGAAGGCGGGTTTGCGGGCGATGGCGACGAGCTCCTCGATAACGGCGTCAAAGGAGGGCTGGGACGCATTGGCGGAGACGATGCCTGTGATCATGGCGGGGATCCCGGCGGAGCGGCGAGTGGTGGATGCTTGGGAAAAGATGCATTCCTTGGTTCCTCTGTACCAGACGTCGAGCAGGGTTTCGCCGTTCTCGTGGCCGGCTTGAGGGTCGTCCAGGTGCTTGACCAGCTGGCAGCAGGTTGCAAACGACAGCGAGACTGTGTTGAAGGCACCGCGGTGTCTGAGGCTTGATAGCTGATCAAAAGTCAAGGACCCGACGGTTGTGAAGAGATCGGTCGAGGGGCGCAGAGTTCCCTCCTTGGCCTTGGACTTGAGAGGCAGGACCATAACCCGCATCAGGGCGCTGGTAGAAATGTTAGCTGGGGTAGACAATGTGGCAGAAACTCTCCTATTTCTTACCTGGACTCGTGGATAGCGCGGAAGCTGTAGCTCAGCAGATCCTTGGTGTCGAGACCCTCGAGGTCTTCCAGCTCCTGAGGCAAGTGGCCCTCGGGTGAGTCGTCACACAGAATGTCCCTGACTGCAGCCCAGATGCGTTGACAGCACTTGACAATGCGGTTCTGTAGGGTAGTCATCGCCTCCATCTCGGACGGCGAAAAGTCCATGTCAGCCGCAGCTTGCCAGATATACCTAAGTCTTGGTCAGTCCACAACTCCTTTCAAACGAATCGCAGTATTTGATGCACCCACCGGAGAGAAGCAAAGTAGCCGTGCACCGGCGCCTCCAGAACGGCATTGCCCAGATCGGCCTCTGCAAAGGCAAGCTTGCCCTCGAGAAGGTCCATCAACTTTGCAATATGCGCAATTTGCGCCTCCCTACCGTCGTAGAATCTAAACAGAAGCTCGTTTGTCCGAGCCACGCCGTCAGCGTGATCGGCTCGTGCCGTTCTCCGCGCAATATCCTCGGCTCTTGACAAGAACTCTTCCAAAGTCGGCGAGACCCCCTGAGTGCCGACGAGACACTTGAAGCGCTTGTCGGCGAACAAGCTCTTGAGGACGGAGGTGCCGTTCTCGCGAACGTCATCGAAGGGGTCCATGATGAGGTCAAGCAGCGCGCGCGTCCACTTTCCGTCAAACAGATTGAAGAAGAGAGTCTCGTCCTCCTCCGTCTCCCACGTCTTGCCAGCATCGGCTTCGAGCTTGAGAATAAAGGCGACGGCCCTCAGCGCGGTAAAGTGCCGCTGGAAAGAAGCCGTGGGAATGAGCTCTGATCGCAAGAAGGCGATATACCACGCCAAGAAGTCTTCGTGCTGCTTCAAGCTCGCCCGCAGCTTGTCCTCGGGCCAGAGCAGAATGTTGGTGCGGTGGTTCGCCTGCTTCGGCGGCGCCTTGGGGGCCTTTGGCGCACCTTTGGCGGCGCCGTCAAAGGCTTTGAGACGGGCCAAGCTCTTGTGCAGGATGAAAATTGCGCCTCTGCTGCGCTTGAACATGTCTTTGAGCTTGCTCAGCAGTTCCATGCGGAACTTTGCGTCCGACTCTGAAAAATACGTAGGGAGGTGAGCTTGCAGCAGGCGGAGGGCCACTGGTGAGTAAGGCCTCGTTGTCGAAGGGGAGGCGACGATCAGGGATAGCGCCAGCGAGCGGAGCTCATGAGAAGGATGCGACAAGACTCTCTCGAGCACCGCCTCTTCTAGGACTACTGCTGAGGAAGACTCCTCTTTGTAAATGGCACCAGGCTCCTCGACCATGCCTACCTTTTTGCCGACTTCGAGCACGGCGAGGTTCAGCTGGGCCAGAGTATCCAACTCAGCCACGGCCGAGCCAGAGGTAGACCACATGCTGTTGATCTGTTCCAGGATCTGGACCGAGTCCTTGCGGTCATCCTTGAATAACGGAAGGAAAACATATGTCTTGATGCCCTCGAGCAGAGACGGCGTCTTGGCAATGGCAGCCTGTACCCAGCGAAGCCACGTCTCGACACTGAACTGTTCGGCGCCTGCAGCTTGCAGTGGCTTTAACGACTGCTGCCTCAGTGCCCTGAAGATAGTCACGATAAACTTGCCCGTGGTCGGACACACGTAGTGCATAGTCATCCAGTCGAGCATCTGGCCGAAAAAGTCCTCCCACAGAGCAATATCTGACGCCCAGCTGCACTCGGGCTGCGTCCGCCTATAGCTTGCCGCGATATCATCGACGCTGAAGACGGACTTGCCGGCAAAGTAGTCCATGGCCTTGAGCGACGACTTGACCAGAGGCTTGGTGGACTGCGGCCCGATGATATTAATGAGGGTATCCAAGATGGTCGTCTTGACCAGCTCGGAGACGGCATGGTCGGGGTTGCGGCGAATGAGCGAAGGGAGCAGGTCCAGGACCAACTTCATGGACCGGTGCTGCTCCGTCTCATTCCACTTGATGAAGAAGTTGAAGAGGCCCAGGCTGGGTTCTTTGGAGAAGGCCCATTGTCGCAGGGCCTGCTTATCAGACTTTGAGCTTTGCTCGACAAATCCGCAGAGCTTCACGCACGCATTGCCCGAGACTCCCTTTGGCTGAGCGGCCAGGGAGAGGAGGTGGTCAAAAACATTTTGCGCGATGCTACGGGCACAACTGATGTTAACGAGCTATTACATGTGGACCACATCTTGGAGGGGTAATGAAGGGGGGAGAAAAGTCTTACGAAATCCACGATTCCTCGGGCTGCTCTTCAACCCATTTGAGCAGGTCACTCGGGTTGACGAAGCTCTCGTACTGGGGAACGGTATCCTGCTTCATCGCTATCTCATACTTGGCGAACCCGGCGAGTGACTCTGGGAGTGAGGTAAGGTAGAATGAGGGGCACCGAGGGGCAATGGCGAAGCGAACGAGTGCTGGCCGAGTGAGTAACAGGGGGGGTGTTTTTTTTTTTTTCTTTTCCCTTTCGTCTGTCGTCTAGAACTCGGCGTGTAAGTAACGGAATTGAGTGCACCCAAATTTCTGGTTGGCTCCGGATCTTACATAAGAATCTCCGATTCGGGAAGGCTTCGTCGGTGAAGGTATTTACCTATTGGATGTATTGGACACGGGGGAAAATGTAGGTACCACGAATTTTCAGCGAGCAGCTCACAGCATTGACTCGGCGCACCGGCGAAGACTCATCGCGGGGGGCACCAAAGCGCCAGGGTCCCGACACTCTTTTTTTTTTTTTTTTTTTTTTTTTGCGCTGCTCGCGCCCCCTAGTGACATTCAGCCAATCGCCTGCATCTTCTGGAACGTCGCGCGCACGGATCACCCCACCCACACACGGGTGGTGTGGCCAAACTTTTCCCCTGCCCTAATTGTGAAAAAGAAGAGGCGCCCCGCCAAAATTCTTGTCGCTTGCTCTTCTTTCCCCTTCAACCCCATCATCATCCAACATCTACCGTAAGCACCAGATTACTGGGAGATATCGCCAAGATGTCGAAAATTACGGTTGCCAACGTCCGCACTCAGGTCTCTGAGCTGCTCGAGTACTCTCTCGAGACCAAGAAGCGCAACTTCCTTGTCAGTCCACTCCCTCCAGTCCCTTCAATTGAGGGCCCCTTCATTTGAGCGCATCATTCGTGCGACCGAAGGTAGAAGCAGAATCAGAACCAGAAAGCTAATACCCCTCACAGGAGTCTGTCGAGCTTCAGATCGGCCTCAAGAACTATGACCCCCAGCGTGACAAGCGTTTCTCCGGCACCGTCCGCCTGCCGGTCGTCCCCCGCCCCAACATGAGCATCTGCATTCTCGGTGACCAGCACGATATCGATCGTGCCAAGCACGGCGGTGTCGACGCCATGTCCGCCGACGACTTGAAGAAGCTCAACAAGAACAAGAAGCTCATCAAGAAGCTCGCCCGCAAGTACGACGCCTTTGTCGCTTCCGAGACCTTGATCAAGCAGATCCCCCGTCTCTTGGGTCCCGGTCTGTCCAAGGGTATGTTGACCACCACTCAATCATTTATCAAATCTTGTAGCCCTGTCTAACATTCAATGCAGCCGGCAAGTTCCCCACCCCCGTCTCCCACGCCGACGATCTCTCTGGCAAGATCACCGAGGTCAAGTCCACCATCAAGTTCCAGCTGAAGAAGGTTCTCTGCATGGGTGTCGCCGTCGGCAACGTCGGCATGACCCAGGAGCAGCTGATTGCCAACATCATGTTGGCCATCAACTACCTCGTCTCCCTGCTGAAGAAGGGCTGGCAGAACGTCGGAAGCTTGACCATCAAGGCTTCCATGTCTCCCCCCAAGCGCCTCTACTAAGCGCAGCCCTCTTCTGGGACTTGTGTCGGTGTTTCTTCGCGAGGCGCCCTTGCACTAGGTATCGAGTACTGCTCGGGTTGGTTATGTCGATGGCTTAAGTGCTTATTCGCGTAACGATATACCCAAAGGTGGGAACAACTTTGTTCAAGGACCTTTCATAGGAAGCTCTGCGCATGGATTAGGAGCCATTCAATACAAAATCATCCTCTTCCAATCCATTACACATGTCTCAATATGCATCAGTGAAACGTGACTATCATAAGATAGTGCTTGTTAACACGGGGTTGCCAAGCCCCAGTCTAGGCATGGTTGCTAAATGGGGTGCCCAATGTGTGATTTCGTATACACAGTAGGGACTCCTTGCCAACTAGCTAACCGTCGAAATCCCTAAAATCCTCCCTTACACACAACGCTCGGAGTGTAGGGTAGGGAAAAGCTCGAAAGGTAAAAGTTTTCCTGATGGTGATGATGAAGAGTGCTTGAAATACACAGGGTTGCCAAGCCCCATTTTCGGCCAGTTCGCTCGCAGCGGTAAAAGCAACAGCCCAAGATGAAGACCGTTGCCATAAATCCGAAGTGCGAGCTCATCGTCAAGTCGTCGAAGAGAGAAGTTAATGAGAAAGGGCGCATCGCCGCAGGATTTCAATCAAACACGATGCCCAATCAAGTCGCCAAACTCAATCTTTGGCGCGAGGATAGAGGCCGCACCCTTGGCAGCCCTGTCGGCCTCATGGTTGAACTTGCGCGGGATCCACCAAAAACGAACCTTGACGCCCTTGTCGTGGAGCCTCTCGACGTTGAGCAAAAGTGCCTCCCACAGGTCCCGATTCTTGACGGGCTTGCCGGTGCTGCTGAGACGCCACCCCTTCCTCACCCACGCGCGCGCCCAGTCCGTGGCGCCGTTGACGACGTACGTCGAGTCCGTAGCGATGACGATGCTCCTGAACCCTTCCGCCGACCACGCCCTGTACCGCAGCGCCGCGACGGCGGCGCGCAGCTCGGCGCGGTTGCTCGTGTGGCGGTACGTCTTGCCGTCCGGCCCTTGGTCCTCGAGCTTAAAAGCCACGCGGCCACTCTGGTCGTTTGCGTAGACAGGCTTGAAGATGAAGGCGGAGCCGCCGCGGGCGGTGGCGTCGGCGCTGCCGTTGTTGAAGCAGGCGCCGTCGGTGTAGATTAGGGCCTCGGAGGTGTCGTAGCGGTTGATAAAGCGGAGGACCGGGGGGGAGAGCCTCATGCAGCGGCCCGAAGGGAAGAGGTCCTCGGGCGAGAGGGGCGTCTTCTTCTTGCGCTGGCCGAATTTGGTGGGGAACAGGGTGCCGGAGAACTCCATTCTCTCGCAGAGAGGGTCGGATGGCGTCGGCTGGAGGACGGGGGCGGGCTGCGGAGTTGCTTCGGGGGCGGCGACGGCGGCGGACTTGTTCGTGAAGCTATTCGAGGGCAAACAGGCGCCGATGAGGAAACGCTTGACCTCCCTGGGTGGCGTACCGTCGACGAGGGGCAGCATATCATCATCGGTGTCTTCGTCCAGGTCTTCGGCCCAAGTAGGCCGGAAGGACGCTGATGGACTCTGGGATCCGCCCGCAGCAACTCGCTCAGGACGGCCGTATCGGCTCTTCGCAACCTGGTCGAAGCTGACATCCCTAGGCACGTGAGAGTTGAAGTCGTAGCCAAAGAGTTCGTCGTCCTCGTCATCCTCGTCCTCGTCATCCTCGTCCTCGTCCTCATCATCGCAGTCGAAGCTAAAATCGAGACAGCATTTTCCACAGGTAACCATCTGGTGAGGTAGACAAACGGTGATCTCTCGCCCGTTGGGCAGCACCACGCGATCAATCTCCGGCCAGGCCATTGTTGCGCTGCAATCAACTCCCTGGGCTGAGGATAGAGGGAAGGGCGTGATACTTTCAGCAGTTAAGAAAGCTGAGCTCGGAGCTTTCGTTTTATCTCGGGGGAACTGAGCGGGGGCAGGTTCAATGAAACCCTACGAATCTTCTCCGTCAGGTAATCACTAACTTAGTGGTGGCTTCCAGAAGGACAAAGCATGACAGAACCTGCCAAATTGTCACAACATTCTTTGTTAGCTGAGCATTGAGCTTCAACAGCTGAGGATGTGTTCGGTATCATAAGAAGCTTTGATGGAGCTCATCAGCACGTTACACGTCAGGTAGTGCCGATATGTAGCTACTAACCGGGATGTGCTTGAGTAGTTTATTGTGCCTTGCAACCTGCAGCAGGTCTGGAAGATCCCTTTTTCTCCGCACGTTCCTGTGGAGAGTTTGCCGAGAGCATTTTGTCAAGTAACAACTCTTCAGGTGTAAACACAACTTCAAATCAGTAGATGCACAGCATGACATTGTTTTAGCAGCATGGGTATATTGACAGTTTCATCAGAAAGCATGGAAACGAAAGTACTAGCAATTGCAAATGATGGATTCAGCTGCATTCGCAGGCGGCGCACTCAAAACACCCAACCACCGCAGAGGATATCCATCCCCCGTAAGCCAATATATAGCCATGCCTAAAGCCAATTGAAACGCACCCGCAACAATGAAGATGAGACTTTTTGTACACTCCTGCCCTCAATCAGTCGCTCTCGTCGATATCCATCGACTCCTGGGCGGCCCTCCCACGCGTGCTCCGCGCCGACGTCCTCGTCGCTCTCGGGGCAGGCTTCTCTTTGGCTGCAGGTCGGGCTGGCAATTTAGTCTTGGCTGCTGCTTTCGATGCTGCTGCTGCCGACCTGCCCTTGCGTCCGTTAGATTTGGGCGGTGGCGTAGCTTCTTCCGGCTCTTCCTCGTCATCTGCTTCAACTTCCTCCTTTTCTGGTTCTTCTGTCGGAACGTCCTCGACCTCGGACAAAGGGGAGTCATCACCGCTGTCGTCCGCAGCAGCTGTTGGCTTCTTAGACTCCTCGCCATTTTCTTCCTCTTGGGGTTCCGAGAGAACCGAGGAGTCGTCATCATCGTCCGACACCTCCTCACCCGTCTGTTCTCCATCCTCATTCTCGTACGTCCACTTGCTGACACCATCCCACATCTCACGGTCGTCGTCAGATGAGTCGCGCTCGGTATACTTTGATACAGTAGTGGTAGCAGCACGACCGCTGCGTCTCCGGTTTTCCAACGGGATGTCAGACTCGCGGCGTGGGGCCTTGACCTTCGCCGGCTTCTTGACCTTCTGCTTCTTCGGCTTTGGCTCCCTCGGTGCCTTGGGCTCCTTGACCCTCGGGGCTGACCTTGCCTTCTTGGCAGGATGATGGTCTCCGCGATCATCTGTGGACTTTCTCTTCTGTAATGGTGTAAGCCGAAAAGTCCAAAGGACATGGGAGAGGGGGTCAGCTTACCTTCTTTCGATCAATTGACTTGAAGAGACCATCCAATTTCTCGTCAATCTCTGACGGCAGGTACTGCTTTTCGGCAATCTCCTGGGCAACCTGGTGTGAAGGCAACGCAGTGTAGAGGCCGATCGGCAAGCCGACCTTACCCGGGAACGCTTGGAAACTCCAATTCTTCCTCTCCTGCCATTTCCTTACAACAGCCTGGGCCAAATCGCTGATAATGTAGAGGTTTTCGCTCGCCTCTGGGCTGATGGCATCGCGAGTCTGCTTTACCCTCTCAGCGTACTTGTAGATGAGTCCCAGGTTGTCTTCCGTTGCCACATTCGTGAGATAGTACAGAATATAGCGGCCATGGTCCGCAAGGTCACTGGCGTATGAGCTCAATTCCTCCTCACTGGCATCGTCAATATTCTCTGGCTTGTTGAAGTCGGGATGGTGAGCCAGCAAAGATATGAGTCGCCCCATAATCGCCTCCATAGGGCGCTGTTCACTCGCCTCCAATGCGCGAGCCCGAGATCGAATCCAGGTCTCAACGCGCTGCTTCAGATCACTGTTTGGCTCGAATGCCGTCAAGAAGATGACGGTGTAGAAGCGTGTCCGAAGCTTATTCTGTACCAGATACTTTTGGAGCTTCTCGATAAAGCCCCGGCGGACAGTCAATTCGGTATCCTGGGCCGTAAACGCGAGACGGTTGAAATCAGCCGGTGCCAGGAAATCGTCGAAATGCTTAATGGTGCATAACTTCAGCAACAGCTGAGCTGCCAGCAGGCGAAGTCGCGACTTGTGGTGATTGGGCGTATCCTTCGTCTTGCAGAGCTCTCCTCTCTTTGCGACCAATGTCTTGAGCAGCTTGAAAACAGGTACAGCCTTCTCTTTGGCCTCTTCGACATCATCCATACTACGCAGTCGGTTGACGAGAATATGCAATGAGAGGCACTTCGCTTGCAACTCCTCGTCCACGCTGGCGTCATCCACCCACTCGGGGTCTTTGTCTGATGCGTCTGTTCGGACCTTGAGCAAAATTTGCTGCACCGTCATGTTGAGGATGTCATCGTCTGAATCGAGGGTGATCTTGGGCACTTGCAATTCCAGCTGTGCAACAGACTGAAGCTTGTTGAGGAAGTGCGATGAGCCGTAGGTCCAGTCTTCCATGATCTTCTCCAACAAGCTGGTCGCACTGACCAGACCCTTGTCATCGCCCTTGGCCAGGAGAATCTTGATGGCATACTTGGCAGACTTCACAGGCCGTCCATACAAAGCGTAGCTAACAAGCGCCTGTGAAAACTTTCGGTCTTGAGGAATCTCTTCGGGGTACTTTTTGGAGTATGAGGCACAAGCTTTCAGGGTATCGACAACGTTCGAGTCGTTCTCGTTCGTCTCCGTGGGAGCTTGCTCTACGAGACCCTTGCACAGCCCTCCCACATGGGTCTTGAAAAGCTCAGGGTTGCGTTGTGAGATTTCGTTGAGAATCTCATGGGATACGGAGCCCAGGCCGTCCTTGTCGTTCCTAGAGTAATCGAGAATCGTTGCAAGGTGGCTGCGGTTGAACAACAAGCAAGCCGACCGGTAGAGAAGCGGCAAAAGCGTGTCCAGGACAGTCGAGTTCTGGCTTGCATTGGTGCGCTTGACCAGTTCCTTGATGGCTTGTCGAACCGTCTTGTAGTCGCTCTCGGCACTGACTGAGAATTTGACGAGCTGATAGGCGCGTCGGTCATTCGCATTGGCGAATTTCTGGAGGTCGGTCTTCACTTTGAAAGGGTCTGGGAAGAACTGTACGATGTACTGCACTGTTCTCTCCAGGTTCGCCGTAACCTTCGAGCGATTGTCGTCAATCACACCTCCGTTGTAGCTCTCGCACTGCTTGACAAAGGCTTCAAGCACCTGGGCAAACTGAGGTTGCCGACCTTGCATAGCCATGAAGGCTCTCTTCGCCGCTTGATCCAGAGACTGGGTAAGGAGGAGAATTCTTTCCGCACGAATGCGGTCCTGGTCAGCAACGCCTGCGCTCTGAGAGCTTTGGGATGTTCCTCTGGTGTTTTTAGGCGCCTTAATGGGAGGATAGGACAGAGGTACCAGGCACTCAAAGAGTACACGATCAAGGAGGATGTTGAGCTCGGAGTCGTTTGCGTAAAACGCGTTGAAAATGCGAGATGGAATTCCAGACAGGGCAGCAACGACGCTCTCCTGCCCAGCAGCCAGCTCTCCCGACCCAACGGCCCAGAGTTTCGCGAGCAACGTCATTGCATCGACCCGAACAGCAGTGCGCTTGTCTCTACAACGGTCGGCAAGACTGCTGAGAACAGAGCCGTCCTTATCCACGCCGCCTGGCGCAGCCAACTTGGAGATGAAGTCGCGGAAGCTAAAGAGCTCCATCACTTTGACGGCAGCTAACCGGACCTTTTCGTCTCCATCGTTGAGCTTCTCTCCAAGATGCTTCACCAATTCGGACTGTTCCTCGCGACTAAGACCAATCCCGCCTGCTTCGGTGGCCAGAATGTAACCGACAGCGTTGGTCCAAGCTGCTCGAATGGTTGCCGTCTTATCGTTCCTCCTGCCCAAGAAATGGTTGTATGCGGAAGAATGAGTTTGCGCAAAAGACTGGGGCGAAAGAGGTGTAGTGAGGACGCTATCGGAGATCTGACTGGGGGCCTCATCGGCCAAGCGCAAGGGAGGGTACTGAGCAGGGTCCAACACGGGTGGCGGGGGTGGTCCAGCAGCACCAAGTCCAGAGATCATATCTCCAAGCGTCTCGGTGGCCAGCTGTCGAAGATCCACATTGTCGGCCGATAACTCTGCCTCGACCTGTGGTATGACATTTTGCAGAACGGATGGCGATGCACGCCAGAGTTCTCTGATGAGATAGTGGGCCTTCCTGAGTTCCTTCAATTCTGCATCGGTGGGACCCCTAGGGGCATCCTCGTCCTCTTCGTCTTCGTGCGATTTTCCAACCGTCTTCGCCGCGAATCGAGATGCGTCGAGAATGACATCACTGAAGTACTGACTTACATAGTGTACCATCTTCTCCGTACACACATTGCAGATCTCCTTCGCCATGATGTACGCAGGGGGCTCGTCCTTCGGCAGCAAGGTTGACTGGTTGCCGTTTTGCTCGCTACGCTCTGTGCGGCTCTGGAAGCCGCCCGGGGGTGCTGCTCTAAGGAATTGGGCCATGATTACTTCAATGACCTTGGGGTTCATGCCAGACGCCTCGTCAACCAAGGCAATCAGCATTTCTGTCATGGTGTTGCCGACCTCCTTCGAGACACCCTCTTCTGGACCCGAGTTCGAGCTTCCAGACACTCCATCGAAGAAGACTGAAAAGAGCTTCAGGAGCATGTCGTCGGCACCGTCGATGTCATTGATTAGGAGGATACTTTTGACGTCGGTCAGAGCTGTCAACACATATTTGTGCTGGCTGTGATAAGGGTGGGTTTGGTCGCTCAGCGAAGGGAAAACGTGCGTAACGACCAGATTGAAGAACATCTGTTGAGCTCGTCAGTGGGAGCTCTGGG